AAGGTCCTTCGTTAAGTCAACATTACAACTATCGCAGGCCCAGCACTATGGCAGGGGCCAGGGAACCTAAAAAAGACCAAGCCACAGCTCTTCTCTTTGAGTAGTATTCTGGCAGAAGCAGATAAATAAATAAATGTATAAGAATCTCCAAAATGTGGGGCGCCTGGGTGGCTCAGTCGTTAAGCGTCTGCCTTCGGTTCAGGTCATGATCCCAGGGTCCTGGGATCGAGCCCCGCATCGGGCTCCCTGCTGAGCAGGGAGCCTGCTTCTCCTTCTCCCTCTGTCTACCACTCTGCCTCCTTGTGCTCTCTCTCTGTCAAATAAATAAATAAAATCTTTAAAAAAAAAAAAAAAAAGAATCTCCAAAATGTTAAAACAAACAAAAAAATTATCTCCAAAATGTGCTGCAGCAGTACACAAAGGGCTAAAATCAATGACAGTTACCTAGGGTAGGTAACATCTGTACAGTCTTATTAACAGTAAGAAAGTTTTCTGGTATTAAGCACTTACTATGAGCCTCACACTGTGCTAAATGTTTTTGCATACATGCTCTCATCAGAAAGACACTACTATCCCCAATGACAGATGAGGAAACTAAGATTTAGTGCCCAAGATCACATAACTACAGAGTGGCTATGCCAGAATTTGGACTCAGGTCTTCCTGACCTCAAAGCTCACACTTTAAACTATGAACTCAGGGACTATAGAACAACTGAAAAGACCATATCCCACGAACAAACGTATGTAGGTATAAAATGTCAAAGTTCATACTGTCTCCTCAAACTGTTTCCTCACAAATGTGTAAAAACAAGCAACTGGACCTGAAACTGAAAACCCTGTTGGGACCAGACCAGTAAAGGGTTTTGCAAGTCACTCTAAATCGCTTCAGTTGTTTCAGGGATCCAAGAGGTTCAGAAACCAGTCAAGTGGCACATTTAGCTTATGTACAATGAACTTGCACCCAGAGAAAATAAATACAAATGAGATCATACAAAAAACTACTAAATCCCAGTAGGTGGTCAAAGAAACACAAACTAAAAAAAGAAAATACTCTTTTTCAACTAGACAATCAGCAGATGTTTATAAATGATACTAGCAAGTATTGATATCATTAAGGGGAATGGGCACTTTATTTCACTGCTAGGGGGCCTTTAAGTTAGTAAAAAATTTTTGAAGGGCACTTAGCTATGGAACCAAGAGAGTCTTGAAAATATTTATGCCATTTAATTCAGCACTTCTAAAATCTGTACTAAAAAGATAGCTGGATGTGCAAAGAGATTTAGCTACAAAAATGTTTACTATCACTCCATTCAATATCACTGAAAAGTTAAAAATTACCTAAATTTGTAACAGTGGGGAATTACCTAAGTAAATTATGAATATGTACCCATGGTCCTTTACATCAATGGAGTATCATGCCATTAAGAATATTAAGACTATTAAATGACATGGAGATAAAAACATTAAGTTAAAATGCAAATTACAGAACAATAATGTACACTTTGATCCCATTTGTACATATTAAAATATATGTCCATTTAGGGATATAAACATAACTTTAAAGATTCAATTGGTGAAATATACCTAAAGATTCAGAAGAATCATCAATTGGAACAGTTTTTCCCTTTGTCCGTTTCTTTCCCATGTTGGCACTTTATGGATTACTTACTGACACAAAATAACAATCTAGAAAACAAGATAAAGTTAGCTTGACAAAAAAAAAAAGTATGTTTTATATTTCTCTAGGCAATAGTAACTAAGCCACATATTTTACATGTCTATCACACTTTATAATTTACAGAGACCATTCACATGTATCATCCAGTTTTCAGTAAGAACTCTGAAGTAGATAGGATAGTATTACCCCTATTTTTCATAGCTTAGAAAACTGATTCTTAGTAAGATTAAGAGTTTTGCAATGAGGGGCGCCTGGGTGGCTCAGTCGTTACGCATCTGCCTTCGGCTCAGGTCATGATCCCAGTGTCCTGGGATCAAGCCCCGCATCGGGCTCCCTGCTCCATGGGAGGCCTGCTTCTCCCTCTCCCACTCCCCCTGCTTGCATACCCCCTCTCGCTGTGTCTCTCTCTGTCAAATAAATAAAATCTTTAAAAAAAAAAAAAAAAGAGTTTTGCAATGAATGTAAGAGTCAGGAAAGAACCTGTGTCTTCTTACACAGATCCTAAAAAGTCTCAGCACTTTACGCTATTAGGAATTTAACTTCTCACTAAATAAATGTGGAGTGGTGGTGGCATTTTGAAACAGAATAATGTCCCTTCCTTCTAAGCTATCTTTCTTAGCTCTGCAGTCTATGCAAATTAAACTGATAATTTCTCCAAGAAAAATCTGAAATAATTCTGAAGATAATCTACTAAAGGGAGTTAGAAAATTTATAAACTTCAAAGCCAAATATAAAAAGTGATCCACTGTTCCACATTTTCCATACCAGGATTCCCTCTGGGTATTAGCTAACTGAGAATTTATTACAACTGCATTCTCAACTGTTTACGTTATTATATTACTGCCAAAATCAGTTTGGAAGACTATGACAAATCTAGCTGCACATCAAATCTTCACCTCCTTAGTCAACAATTCAAAATTAGAATACATGAAAAGTGCTGCAAGTACATATAGATCTACTTAACTTTAAATAATAATGATTTTGAAAACTTGTATTTCACATCGAATAACTTAGTGTCAAAATCACCTAAATGACTATAATAATTATTTTACCTGGGATTCTTATTAAAATTTTGATTACATAAGTGGAAAGTAGGACCTGGGAAACAGGTTTTGAAAACACTTCCCAATTAATTCTGATACTAGCTGTCATCCTGTCCTAACTAAAGTCTTAGAAGTATTCCTCTTTCAGGGCGCCTGGGTGGCTCAGTTGGTTAAGCGACTGCCTTCGGCTCAGGTCATGGTCCCGGCGTCCTGGGATCGAGTCCCACATCGGGCTCCCGGCTCGGCGGGGAGCCTGCTTCTCCCTCTGACCCTCTCCCCTCTCATGCTGTTTCTCTCTCTCTCTCAAATAAATAAATAAATAAAATCTTTAAAAAAAAAAAAAAAAGAAGTATTCCTCTTTCAGCTCTTACTTGGTTAGTGTATATAAAGTTAATTCAAAAAGGTTTATATGAAGGGCCACATCAAGTAATTGTTAAACTTTCCAAGGATCATCTAAAATGTAACAAGGCTCCATGTTTACAAAATAAATGAATTAACAACAAACAAAAGAATAAAAGTATACGGGTATATACAAAACTAGGGTACTTTTTATGTACATTTTGTCACCCTAAAGTAACATATTACATAATTTATCTCCTCTATAATTATAGATTTTAAGGGAAAAAAAAATAGTACCCAAGTTCTTGCCTCCAATCCAACTACCTCTAATCTGTGCTGCATTCCAGTACCAGACAGATCTTCTTCTAACACCATTTTCATCATATCCATGCTCCTGAGCTGTGCACTCACGGTCCCTTATAAATTGGCCTCAATGCTCTGGTGGTAATCCTGATTCTCATTACTTCTCAGCAAAGAACCACTAAACTTTAATTATACAGTCCGTTTGATCTTCAAAGCCATTTCATAAACATTATTTGATTTTCACAACAACCCTTTACATGGAGCATTTTGCTAAAGGAAGAAACTCAGAAACAAAATGATGGAAGATCATAGGGTGGCAGAGATGGAATTAAAACACAGATCTTCCAGTTCCAAGACCACCACTCTTTGCATTCCAGTCAAGCCAGTCTCTCCAAAACACTGTGTCCCCACCTCTATGACTTTGATCTCTAGCTGGGATGTTCTCTCCATCTATCCAAATCTTACCAGTCCTCCAAGATGTCCATTTCAATGAAGTCTTAGGCAACCATTCTACTCTAAATAAACCTCTCAAATGAACTTCCCCAACCTTAATAACGTGCACTGTTCGTTTTGTCCCCTAATCCAATGGGCTGCTTCTTAAATCTTTGACCTGGACACGTGTTATTTGTCTATATGGAATCTAAAGTTCTAGGAGAAAGAAATGGTTTTGGGCATCACCTCTGAATTGCCTAAAGCATCTAATACAGTGTTAGTACATATAGAAATACTTCTCAAGAAATAGTGCTTGCTTTGAAACAGAAAAAGAGCATAGTACCTGGGACATAAAAGATGATATGAGGTACAAAGGTAGGTACACCTAAGAATGAAGCAAAAAGGTTCCGGTGAAAAACAAAAAGGTAAAGAATGAAGAAGTCTCCTGTAGTGAAGACAGCACTAGCAAATGTGGTTTGAGGACTGCAGCAGCCCGGACTCCAAAGAAAAACTTGAAAGACTAAATGTAACTACTTCAGGGAGAGGACAGTAGGGTTCACTTCAAAGCTGTGGAAAGGGCTGCAATAAATCTTTAGCAGCTATAAAGGGCATCAAATAAGTCTAGAGAAAAGAGTGGCGAGTACCCTCGCTATAAAACATCAATAAATCTATTAAGCTTTTCAGGTGAGTCTTCAGATGAGAGTCAGCTTCTCAGCCAAATTACTCTTTGCAGGAGTCCACACAAAATTTAAATCAAGGTTGGGTCTTGCCGGTTCGCATACTAATCCAGTTCCCTTTCCTTCCCAGTCTTCCCATGCCTGCTCGATTCCATTAAAAATGGAAGCGTTTGGAAAACTTTTGTCAGCAGATCCTAAATATGGCTTTCAAGTTCGGCGTAGATCTGACCTACCCTAGGTTCACTGAATCGGTGAGATGACAGATCCTGCTTTTCCTACTAACCACCACATGGACGCGACAGCAAACCCAACCCCAACCTGTAGGGTGCTCCCGGCCGCGCGGCGCCCGCCACACCTCCCGTTCCCTTCCAACTGCTCTGAACCCAAGGGGGAACCTTCGGGTCCGGGGTCGATCAGGGCGCCAGCACCGACAACTCATTGGCCAGCTCCTGGTACTGACAGGACATGAAGCCAATGAGAACGCGGTACCGGGCCGCGGCCGGGCAACGTGCTTAAGGAAGAGGAGCCTTCGGGAAGAGACCTGCCTTCCAGGTCAAGGCAGGAAATTCGGGCTCTCGAAACGCAGGAAGTCATGCGAGCGGTGCCTGCGAGTCAGTGGGAACAGAACTCACCCACGGCGACAGCGCCCATAACTGCATCCCCTAATGAGCCTGTGGGCTGAGCAGCCAGCTCCGTCTTCCTCCCGGTGACGGATAGAGAGCGACAGAGCCGAAGCCAGACTGACCCCTAGAAAGCAACAACTTCCGGTACGCGGCATTATGGGTGGTGGCTTAGCCCCAGGGGCCTGCGGCGCTGACGCTATTGCAGTGGCGCTTTCGCGCGGTTCCCTCCGGAAGTTCAGATACAGCCGCTTGGAAGAGCCTGGCTGTCAGTTTTCCCCGCTCTGGTGTAATTATGGGGTTGTTTAAATGTTTCGGAAGCATGAGTACCTGGTGGTGGTCAGAGTATTGGAATCTCCTGGATGGGTTACGTTATTCACATTACATCTAAATTCTGGCTAGGAGGGTAAAATTTACATTTCACGCAGTTCCCCTAATTGTGCCCAATCGCCTTCTAAATGTTGAGTACGTAAATTGTCTTGAACTAACCTTGCCCACGGAAGGTAAAATTTTCAAACATTTACTGTGTGTCCGTTAAAAATATGTAAGGGCCGAGTCCCCTGTGAAGTGAATTAAATGAACATAGGCTCGCTACCCTAGGGTTTAGTCTTCTACAGAAGACACAATAGCTTGGGAAAAAAAAAAAAAAAAAAGATGCAAGCGCCAGTAGAAACATAGGCAAGGGATATGAACAGGTAATTCACAATAAAAAGACAATTGGTCATAAGAGATAGGAAGAAATGTTCCTCCCTTATTAGTAATCAGATAAAGGTAGATTAAGTGGCATCCTAACCGTTCAAACTGGCCAGAGTAACAAGGGTTACATTTAACTCTTTTGCTCTTTACTGCTGATAGAATTTTTTAAGCTTTCTTCACTCAGCACACAGGCTTTTTTTTTTTTTTCTATTCTAAAACGCAGCCTTAGGGACATTGTACCACTTGCTTCCTCTGCCTAGAATGCTGCTCCCCATGATCTTCTGTGGTTGCTATTTTATTGTAATTCTGTTCACACCTTAAAAGTTACCCTCTCACAAAGAAATTGGCTGGGCAATCTAGCTTATATAGCCACCTGATCATTCACGTCACTTTATTTTTTGTCACTACCCCGCAATTATCACTATCTAATATTTTTCCTTCATATTTACCTATATATTTCTTCCCCCCCCCCAGCCCCCATACATACACAGAAACATGCAAATGTAAGCTCTTTGAGAGGTGGGACATCTTTGTCTTGGTCGTGGCTATCTCTAGTACCCAGAAGTGTCCGGAACATAGTAAATGCTCAATACTTACTGAAGGATAGTCATTAGAAATGAAAAATTTTGCAAGAATGTTCATAGTAGCCTTACTCATTTTAGCCAGAAACTAGAAACAACCCACATTTTGAACAAAAGAATAGGAAAACTGTGGTTTAGTCATAAAATGGGATTCTAAGCAATAAAAAGAAACTGTAAGGCACAAGAACATGGATGAATCTTTAAAATATTATAGTGAAAGAAGACATACAGAAGTACCTACTATGTAATTCTATGCATATGAACAGGCAAAACTAATTATGGCAGGAAAAAATCAGAACAGTGGTTGCCTCTTGAGGGGTTCAGGTGGGGACTAACTGGGAAGGAGCATGAAGGAACTTTCTAAGATGCTAGTGATGTTCTATATCTTAATAGGATTTGAGCTACACAGGTGTATACATTTGTCAAAACTCAGCAAATGTACATTTAAGATGTGCATTTCATTTTTACCTCAAAATAAAAAATCAAACATTTAATCTTAATGCTATGCATGCTGAAGTACTTAGGGAGAAGTATGCTAAGGTCTGCAATTGCTTTGAAATGCATTAAAACAGATGGATTGATGAATGGATTAGATATATGACAAAGTTGGTAGAATAAAATGTTACGATAGTGTCTAGAATCATGATAGCACCAGTTTCTTAACCTCAGCACTATGGACAGTTTAAACCAGCAAATTCTTTGTTGTAGATGGATGTCTTCAGCACTGCAGAAAGTTGAGCAGCATCCCTAGACCCTATCCATTAGATGCCAGAAGTACCCTTCCAGTTGTGACAACTCAAAATGTCTTCAGATATTACCAAATGTCCCCTGAGGAGCAAAATCACCCCCTTCTTTTCTTCTTCCCTGAGGGTCACTCCACTACTTCACTGTAAAATTTTCTCAACTTTACTGCATGCTTGAAATCTCTCATAAAAATTGGAAAAAAAGGGGCACCTGGGTGGCTCAGTTGGTTAAGTGTCTGCCTTTGGCTAGGGTCATGATCCCAGGGTCCTGGGCTCCAGCCCATCGGGCTCCCTGCTCAGCGGGGAGCCTGCTTCTCCCTCTGCCTGCCACTCCCCCAGCTTGTGCTCTCTTTCTCTCTCAAATAAATAAATAAAATCTTTTTTAAAAAGTTGGAGAAAAAATAGATTAAAAACATTGAAAAATGCCCACAAAGCACCAAGTCAAAGATGCAGCTATGAAAACGTATGTACTAATCTTATTTTCATTAAAAGAAAGTTTCAAGTTATTGATACATTATACCAATGAATATGTTCACAAAAAAATCTTGAGATTTCTAAAATGAATATGTAACATAAAGAAAAAAGGCATTACCTATATTTAGATTGTGAAGAAAAAATCTAAATTACTCTCATGGTGGAGTCGCCTTCAAACTGTCCTTTTATTATCAGTGACAAATTTCTATGCAGTAACACAAACTGAAGCCCCTAAAGTCGCCACGACCACCATCCAGGCTCACCTCTCCCTAATGCCTTGCTATTTAGGGGCCAGAAGCATCCCTCTTGTGTGGGAAGATATCAGAAACCCAGAATAGGGAACCCCACTCTGACCTATTGAATCCCAAGCTACACATAATCGAACGATTCCTACACATGTTTGAATCTGAGGAGCGTTACTTTAATGGACCATTCCTTGGCCCAGGAAACAGTGCCGTCTAATACTTCTCCGTGACCCTGGCAGCAGCTGGGAAATGCCAATAGGGTGGAATTTGTACTTTGCGACTGAGAAGCCCATAGCATTGCCAAGAATTCCAGCCGCTGAGCACCTGCCAGGACCAAACAGCCAGGACCAATGGGCTTCCGGGGCCTTTGGCCCCGCGCGCGCGCATGCGCCAAACGGAGAGGGCGTTGTCTCACTTCCCCTAGGCCGCCTCGCTGGAGTGGTTTGTAGGCTTCGGATTATCTAGCACTGGAATTCAGAGGCTCCCTCTGGATGAGACTTGAGCTGTCCGTGCAGCCAGAAAATCCATGGTTTCAGCACCGAGGGGGTCCGTGGCTCCAGGTGAGTCTTCAGTCTACCGCCGCCCAAGCGAAACGGGGATTTCCCGTGTGGCAGAGGCCCGTTTCCGACTCCGGGAACTTGGCGACGTCGTGGCCCCGCCTTCCCGCGCGCTACACACTGCTCATTGGTTAGAGCCGGCTGTTCTGACCCCGCCCGCAGTCGGGACCCTCCCTTCCCACATTCACCACCATCACCAGGCCCAGGCAGTTGTTAGGGGCGACGGCGCCTGCGCACAAGGTTTCGGTAGTGGCCTTCTGCAACTTGCCGGGTGTCAGGGCTTGTGCCGCCTGGACCCGCTCTCCTCTGTAAAATAAAAATCTGCGAGGAAAAAAGAATGGTTCCACTTAGGAAACTCCGTTTTCATTCTACGTTCGTACAGAATTCACTGAAATCTTGAGTCCGAAAATTCTTTTCAAGGGTTTGGGTCTTTTTGCATTGAAATCTTATCTACGAAAATAATTGGACAAGTAAATAATATACCTGTAACATCACTCCCATGGTTGTTCGCACACGGATTGCTTGGCCCCAAACTTCTTTGCTGGCTCTATTTCATCTTCCAGACCTCCGAACTCAGTAGGACTTTCTCCCAACTTCACTCACTCAGTAAGTGACAAAACAAACATGCCTTTAAATATATGTTGGTTACTCCCAAAATTACATCTCCAGCCGGATACCTCATAAACTGCATAATTGTACATCCAGCTGTCTCCTGAACATCTCTATTGACTAGGTGTCTTAATAGGCAGTTCATTACAGTGTATTTCTAAAACCAGGCTTCGAGTGTCCACCATCTTACCTACCTAAATGCCAAATCCATCCTTCCTGTCTCTTAATGCCTTGGATTCATTCTTACATATCACATATAATTTGTCAGTAAATCCTGTTGGTTCTACTCTTTCTATATGTCCAGAACTCGAAAGTTGCTCACCACCTGGACTACACATCCTAATCCAAGCCACTGTCATCTCTCCCCAAGTCATTGTAGTACCTCCCTGGTCTTTCACCTTTCATCCTCATTCCCCTGCACATTTCACAGCATCAGAATTGGGCCTCTCCATAAGTAAGTCAAACCCCTGCAATGGCCTTCCATATCAGACAGAATAAAATCCGAAGTCCTGGCCATGCCCTCTGAGTCCTAACGTAAACTGCCCCACATTTCCTCTCTAATCTTGTCTCCTAAAATCTTGCTCCAGGCTTAGTCAGCTCCAATACCTGGTCTAGCACTTCCCTTCCACAAGACCTTTGAATTTGCTGTTCTTCTTGCCTAGGAAACGCATTTTTTGTTGTGATTTTTGAGATTTTTTTGGTGATTTTTTTTCATTGTTATAGTCTTAGTGCCAAGGACAATGCTTGACACACAATAGGTGCTCAAGACACATTTGTGGATGAATGACAAATAACAACAGCAACCACTTTTATAGTACTTACTCTGTTGCCAGGCACTGTTTGAAGCACCTTCCACACATCATTTAATCCTCACAGCAACCCTATCATTCCCATTTTGGAGATGGGGAGACTGAGGCACAGAGAAAGTAAGCCACCTGCCTAAGGTCACACAGTTTTTAAGTGCATGTTGGCAGTCTAAGTAGCAGAGCACATATTTAAACCACTATGATAAAAATACAAAATAAATTCACTTCCTCTAATAACCATCTAATAATATCTAATAACCTCAACTTTAAAAAAAGACTAGAAAAGATATTCATGGAATTCCAATGAGTTCAGGGATTTTGAATACTTACATGAATATTTTGTTTAATAACAGTAAATGCATAAGTTAGGATGTCAGATGAAAATAAGATATAAAATTATATGAAGTGACTGGTTAGTAAAGAAAACATAGATACACACTCCACTTTGAAATTCTGAAGAGACTGCTTAATGAAGGGACTGTTTACAGAGGTGTGGCCAGGCATTACTGCCTCTAGGCCTAGGACGATTTCCTGGAGCTGAGGAAGAAGGGCTGCCCACAAAAGCTGTGGTCTTAGGGGGTCATGGCCATTGTCAGAATCCCACCAAAAACAGGAAGCCAGTGGTGAAGAAACACCCTGGCTTCTTTCTCCTCCCATCCTCCCCCTTCCTGCCAGAGCATTAGCTGAAACTAACCACAAGAAAGAAGAGTGGGGTGTTATAGGCTGTGGAGGTCAGTTTTTCAGTCTAGAGCAGGGAAAAGAAGGACCAAGAATGTGTTTAGGGGACAAAGAAGAAGTAACTAGCAGAAAATGGTCCAAATAATGAGCCCCTGAATTAGGCCTTTGTAGTCAAGGTTGTGAGGAAGGGACAGGCTCAGGGCTATACTGTTTTTCTTGTGCTTTCCTGCCTTACAGACCTTTCTTCTCTCCCCACTATGCTTCCTTCTCCACTTTTCTAAGTCTTAGCCTATCTTTAAGGCTCAAGTCAGGGTCACCTGGCTGGCTCAGTCGGAAAAGCATGCAACTCTTGATCTCAGGGTCGTGAGTTTGAGCCCCACATTGGGTGTAGAGATTACTTAAATAAATAAACCTTAAAAAAAAAAAAATTGGAGAAAAGGTTCGACTAGATCCTGTCTCCTTCCTTAAATCTTTCCTGATAGCCCATTTCATTGATCATTTACTCCTTTTAAACCCCACAATAATGCCTATACTAGTCATTTAACACTTAGCCTTTTTTATCTGCATTGTTCTGTATCTTACTAGATAATATGTACTGATCCTCAAACTAAATAGAAAGCTCTGGAAAGGAATGAAGGATGAAGCTCTAAATAGAGTATTTACTCAATAAACATTTACCCAAAGATGAAAAGGAATTCCATGAAGATGCCATTAACCAAGATAATGGTGTTTGATTTCACAGAGTAAATTCTCTTTGAGAAGGTAAGCCATATTTCCTTTGGAGCAATGGGACTGAGTTCTGTTTTTCTTTTCAGATGTGTAACTCCTTTTTTCTGAATTCAGAAGCACTATATACTAATCCTAAAACTTCAAACAATATAGAAGCATACAAATTAGTCCTTCCCTTCTTCCTTCTACCCACATCTAACAAACTAATTTGGTGAATTCTCTTTCTGACTTTTTTCATGTATGTATAATGATATAACAATGAATAATATGATCATACCTATTTATATTCTACAATCTACTTTTTTAGGTAACTGTTGTATTATGAATATCAGTGTTAATATATATATATTTTGATGATCTCATAATATTCTGTTTAGATATATATTTATTTAACTAATCTATTGTTGAACATTTAGGTCATGTCTGATTTTTTTATTACAGATAATAAGCACTGAACATCCTTATAAACACCTTTTTTATATACTGTCTGATTTTTTCCTTAGATCAGCTTCATAGAATTAGATCAGCTTTCCTTATACCAACTTTTTCTTCTATAACAATTACCAGATGTTAACCATCTTGTGTGTGTGTGTGTGTGTGTGTGTGTGTGTGTTTGCACATGCATACTAATTCAGTAAGTTAAAAATATTGTGTAGGGGGGACTTCCACTTTTGGAACAACAGAGTAGATGTGTTTTTCCTAATTTGTCCAGCTAAGTACAACTAAGGATCCTGGACACTATTTATAAAACAAACACAAAAGACTCTGAAAAGTGAAAGGGAATGCAGACCAAATAGGGACCTTGGGACCCAAGAAAGGACACAGTGGTGACTTTCTTGGTTATTCTTTTTTGCCTCAAATATCTGAGATTTGATTAAAGAAGCAGCAACCCAGAAATACCAAAGGTACAGACCAAACGAGTTGTAAAGCCTCAAAAAACCCTGCTCTCTAGCTAAAGTACCAAGAAATGTGCAGCTGAGCAAGATGGAAAACACTTAGATAATAAATGCTCTACACCAGGCAAATACTAAAGAAAACACTGTGGCCTCTCCCCTACCACACCAGCAAAGGGAGCCTAGATTCCAACTTTACTGAGCTGTAATAAGCACTTCAATGCCCACACCTTGCCAGGATGTATCAAAAAATCTGATGAGGGATCTAGGACTTTCCTCTCTGCCTGGTGATAATGACCTTACCAGAGTTTAGTGTCAGACCCATGTCAGATCCATGTCAGATCACATGGGGAGCCTCTACTTCCACTCTGATGCAGCAATAACAAGGCATCCCTCCTTCACCCTGCTGGAATGATGTCCAAGAAGTCTAGTGGGGAATCCAACTTTCACCAACACCTAGCATTAGCAAAGTGGCCTGTCAACATGGTGTTAGTGGAGGCCACATGGGTAACAATAAGGAGGCTTTCCCACCCTTCCTGGGCATAAGCCCCCCTTTTTTTCTCCCTTCTGAAGCAGGATGTCAGAAAAAGTATGCTAAAATGGAAGATTTGAGTAATATTCAGAGTCTCAGAATACTTAAAATGTCCAGATTTCAATAAAAAAATCACTCATCATACCAAAAACAAGGAAAATCTCAAACTACATGAAAAAGATGATAAAATAGATGCTGATGCCAGGATGACAGAGATGGTAGAGTTATCTGACAAAGATTTTATTTTTTTAATTTTATTTTTAAGTAATCACTACACCCAGTGTGGGCCTTGAACTCATGACCCTGAGATCAGGAGTTGCATGCTTCCTACTGAGCCAGCCAGGTGCTTGATCTCAGGGTCATGGGTTCAAGCCCCACACTGGGTGTAGAGATTACTTAAATAAATAAAACTTAAAAAAAAAAACCTATCTTAAAAAATTTTCAGTGAGCAATTATAAACACACTTCAAGCAAATAAAAAAAAAGGGTCCCAGTAAAGAAATAGAAGATGTAAAGAAGAATCAAATGGAAATGATAGAACTGAAAAATGCAATAACCAAAATTAAAAACACAGAAGATGGACTCAACAACAGAAGAAAGGGGACAGAGGAAAGGAGCAGTTAACTGGAAAATATAATAGAAATTATCCAGTCTGAACAGTGGAGAGAAATAGAGCAAAAATAAATGAACAGAGTTTTAAGAACATATGGGACTGTAACAAAAGATCTAACATGTCATTCCAGAAGGAGAAAGAGGGCGGAGGGCAGAGCTGAAAAAAGTACTTGAAGAAATGATGGTTGAAATTTTCTCAAATTTGTCAAAAGGCATAAACAGATTCAAGAAATTAAATGAATGTCAAGCACAAAAAAACTCAAAGAAATTCACATAGAGACACATCATAGTCAACCCTATGAAAACTACAGAGAAAGAAAAGATCTTGAAGGCAAGCAAGAAATGAACCTTTGCTATAAGGTTCGAATAAGAGAGTATTTCTCATCAGAAACTATGGGGGCCAAAATGAAGAGGAATGATATTTTTCAAGTGCTCAAAATAAAGAATTAACAACCTAGAATGTCATATCCAGTGAAAATATCCTCAGGAATGAAGGGGAAATCAAGACTTTCTAAAGCTTTTTTTTTTTAATTTTATTTATTTATTTTTGAGAGAGAGAGCAAGCACAAGCAGGGAGGGGCAGAGGGAAAAGCAGACTCCCCACTGAGCAGAAGCCCAATGCAGTACTCAATCTAGGACCTTGGGATCATGACCTTGTCCAAAGGCAGACGCTTAACTGACTGAGCCACCCAGGTGCGCCAAGAAATTCTAACATGAAGGAAGATTAAGATAATTTGTCACCAGCAGACCTACCCTAAAAAAAATAGCTCAAGGAAGTTCTCTAAATGGAAAATTTAATAAAGAAATAATAATAAATAATAATTAGGAAAATAATAAATTATTATGGAAGAAATACAGAAAAAGCAAAAGTATGGGCAAATAAAATGGACTTCTCTCTGTCTTCTTAATTATATTTGATGGCTGAAGCAAAAATTATAACTCTGTGGTTCTAAATATATATAGAAGAAAATTTTAAGATCACTATTTTACAAATGCAGGAAGGTAAAGGTACATAAAGTTTCTATATGTCACTCAAGCTGTTTAAATAAGACACTGGTAGACTGTGATGTTTTATATACGTGTGTGTAGAGTAACCACTAAAAGAGCTATAAAAAGAAATACATGCAGAAACGTTACAGATTAACCAAAATGGAATTCCAAAATATTTTCTACCTGCAAAAGGCAGGGAAAGGAAAACAAAGAAATGGAAAACATAGAAAAAAACAGAAAATGAAATAGGTACTTAAGTCCAAACATATCAATAATCGTGTTAAATGTAAGTTGTCTAAATACAGTAATTAAAAGACAGAGATTGCCCCCCTACATACATACACACAGAATTATCTGTTCTGAAATATCAATAGTGCCAAGATTGAGAAATCCTAAACTGGAGTCTGGTTAAGTCTAGACTCTAGACTTTCAACAAATTTGTGTTTTCTACTGCACATTACACTGCTGCTTTCTAGGGAACCTGGTGCTGGTTCCTGAGCCTTCCTGAAGTTCTGCAGCTCCCAGCCACCTGACCAAGCAGTTAATAGAGGGAAGGAAGCTGAAATATAAGTTAGTTATAGTTCATTTACCCCTTTTCACCTTCCAAACTTTTGTTGATAGCTTTTGTTATTTCCTTTCCCTTTGTCTTTGAGAATTTATCCTTTTATTCTCATTTTAATGGGGTCACAGAGAAAGGGAAATATTTATACAAGTGCTCAGAAGTCCCTGTTTTATCAGAAGTCCCTACACTTTTTCTTGCAAATGAAATTAATTTATCTAAAAAAAAAAATCCTATTTGATTGTCATCTTGGTGAACTTTATAACCCTGGAATGGTGAAGATTTTCTAACAAAGATTCAAAGTCCAGAAGCTATGAAAGCAGAAGTTGATGAATATGCCTACTTAAAAACTCATGAATGGTACACACAGACAAAAAACACCATAAAAAGACTATGTATTAAGAATTTTTTTAAAGAGTTTGCAGGGGCTGGGGAACCTGGGTGGCTCAGTCCATTGGGTATCTGCCTTCAGCTCAGGTCATGGTCTCAGGGTCCTGGGATCAAGCTCTGAGTTGGGCTCCCTGCTCAGTGGGGAGTCTGCTTCTCCCTCTCCCTCTCCCCGCCCCCACCCAACTCATGTGCCCTCCCTCTCTCTCAAATAAATAAATAAATACATAAATAAAATCTTTTTAAAAATTAATAAAAATAAAAGGTGAGGGGACTATGTAAAAACTTACATTTCAATATGGCAACTTTTGGAAGGCAACCTGGCAATATCTACCAAAATCTAAAATGTTATACTTATTGACCCAACAAGCCACCTCTACAAACTTATCCTTGAGAATACAGTATTAACAGTTTGCCAAACTGTGTATATAAAAAGAACTTCTATTAAAGAAATGTTCATAATAGCAAAAGTGTGGAAACAACCTAAGTGCCCATCAATAGGCAAAAAATGCAATAAATTATGACATATCAACATGATTCAGTATGACAGTCAACCACAGAAAGAATGAGATAAACCACTATGTACTGACAGTGAATATATCTTTGACATATTTTTGGAGGGGAAGAAGTGGGGGAAAAAGATATGTTTATATGATCCCTATGGATACATTTTGATTATGTTATCTCTTTACATATACTTAAACATTATACCACCATATATTTTCCATTTATGTATGTCTATATAATTCCTAAAATATTTTCTGTTTCTCTAACACCAAAACTCTTCACCTTGGATGGGAGACTTAGGCAGGTAGGGGAAGAGATCACCCAGCTGAAGCCATATCTTCATTTTTTAACCTTCTACCACTTGAATTTTTTAACCTAGTACTTTTTTTTTAATGTTAACAGAGGGTACTTGAGCTGTGGGATTGTTAGTATATTTTCTCTTCACATTCTTCTGCTTTTTAAAAACTAATAGACACTAATATTAAGAGAAAAATATTAACCATCCACAAAACTAACTCTGTTACTTACTCTGTTCATTCTAGGTTTCCAAAGTAACCAGTCATATAGCCTCTCTCCTGGCTATATCATTGATAAGGCTTTTGACTACATAATTAGTTTACTTAAGTGAAATTGTTCACTGTGGCAGCTCAAGATTCCAGGTCAACGGTCCAGACACAGAGGTATTTGATGCCTGGTTATTATTAGAGTTTTATGGCTTTCACTGGATCAGCCCATAGTTTGGATCCTTAGTATATTACATCTGTTTAAATTTCACATTTTATGAAGAAATCAAACACACTTTCATAAGGACCTATATTGATCTATTGAGTTCTCCCAAGATTGCATTTGTAAATTATTTATCTTATCTTATCCTTACCTCCTTAGAAATTTACGGATATCCAAAAATGATTGAGATTGAACAGGCAGAGGCCCAGCTCTCTGAGTTAGACCTGCTAGCCAGTATGTTCCCTGGTGAGAACGAGTTCATTGTGAATGACCAGCTGGCTTTAGCAGAACTGAAAGATTGTATTGAAAAGAGGACGATGGAGGGACGATCTTCTAAAGTTTACTTTACTATCAATGTGAACCTGGATGTATCTGAGGAAGCAATGGTAATTCAGTTTGCTTTTTGAAGAACTGAAAGCCTGTCAAGAATTAAAACACCACTTAGGGCATTTTCTTCTTCTTTTTTTTTAATCAGGTGATGTTTTCTCTGGCTTGTATTCTTCCCTTTAAATACCCTGAAGTTCTGCCTGAAATTACTGTCAGGTATGTTACAAAAATTGGCCAACATCAAAGGTTAAAATTAACCTGAGAATAAAAGCAATGCTTAAGTTTGTTTTCTGTCCAAAAAAATTGATTTAATTTTTATACTCCATATCTTTTTCATCAGATCAGTATCACTAAGTAGATCCCAGCAGACTCAGCTAAACACAGATCTGACCGGATACCTGCAAAAGAATTGTCTCGGAGATGTCTGTATATTGAATGCCACAGAGTGGGTTAGAGAACATGCTTCTGGCTATACCAGCAGAGACACCACACCTTCCCCTGCTCCAGGAAGTACATTCCAGCCAGTTGATCTCATTCTCACAAGACTGTGGATCTATAGCCATCACATCTACAACAAGTGTAAAAGAAAGAATATTCTAGAGTGGGCAAAGGAACTTTCCCTATCTGGATTTAGCATGCCGGGGAAACCTGGTGTTGTTTGTGTGGAAGGCCCACAAAGTGCCTGTGAAGAATTCTGGTCAAGGTTTGCTTTCACAAATGTTGTATACTGTGTCAATAATTTTAGTAGTAAAGAAGATACAGAGATGTGGAAATTAGTATGTCCCTGGGGTTGTACCTTATAGGGATTCAGTCTCAAGTCAATGGATAAAACAGAACTCACATATGATCAGCATCACCCCCTTCCCTGACATGGTGCACATAGATGTTCTGTGTATAGCTGTTTAATTGAGCCCCTGTCCAAGATGTTATGATCCCCTCCATTTCCATGGATTGGATTCTTAGTGATGTGATAAGCTGTGCATATCCTGTGAAACAAACAGGTTTCTAATCTTCTCATTTCTGTACTGACATCCTGAATGAGTTTCTAAGAAGTCCCTTTGGGAGTCTGAGATACAGCAATGTCCACATTTCTAAAATGTTGATATGAGGCAGTAGCAATAAATGAGTTTGGGGATAGGATCATGACTACCATCATATTGAATTAAAATAAATCCCTGTGAGATAAAAGGAAATTTCTTTACTTCTGGGAAAAGGCGTTGAAAAGTCTGTTTTATAACTTCTATTTTCAATGCTCTAGAAAGAAAACACATTTTCAATATGTCTACTTTGAAAATTTCTTTTCAGACTCAGAAAATTAAACTGGAAGAGAATTTTAATTCGCCATCGAGAAGACATTCCTTTTGATGGTACAAATGACAAAATAGAAAGACAAAGAAAATTTTCAGGTTTTGAAGAAAAAGTGTTCAATGTTAATGGAGCCAGAGGAAACCACATGGACTTTGGTCAGCTGTATCAGTTTTTAAACGCCAAAGGATGTGCGGATGTTTTCCAGATGTTCTTTGGTGTGGAAGGACAGTGACTGGGCAAAGGAGTATTGAAAGTATTTTGTCACTGTTGGCCTTTTGATTTTTCCCCCACTCTTTCTTGAAAGATGAAGTAATTTGGGGCACCTGGGCGCTTAGTCGGTTAAGCGTCTGACTTTGGCTCCGGTCATGATCTCCAGGTCCTGGGATGGGGCACTGCTGTCAGGCTTCCACTCTCTCTGCCCCTCCCCCAACTCATGTGCTCTCTTTCAATCTCTCCCTCTCAAATGAATAAATAAAATCTTTTAAAAATAAATAAATTTAAAAAATAAAAATGGATTTAAGATATCAAAAGAGAGAAGAACAAGTTAGATGGTCCTGCCTGCACTGTATAATGTAAAAGACACAATAAAAGCTATAAGAGGGGAGGGGCGCCTGGGTGGCTCAGTCATTAAGCATCTGCCTTCCTCTCAGGTCATGATCCCAGGGTCCTGGGATCGAGCCCCACACCGGCTCCCTGCTCTGTGGGAAAACTGCTTCTCCCTCTCCCACTCCCCCTGCTTGTGTTCCCTCTCTCGCTATGTCTCTGTCTGTCAAATAAATAAAATCTTAAAAAAAAAAAAAAGCTATAAGAGGGGAGCCTGAGTGGCTCAGTCTGTTAAGCGTCCAACTCTTGATTGTGGCTCAGGTCATGGTCTCACAGTGGTGGGATCCGGTCTCAGTTGGGCTCTGAGCTTGGCAGCGAGTCTGCTTGGGATTCCCTCTCTCCCTCTCCATCTGTCCCTCCTCTCTCACTCAAATAAATAAATCTAAAAAAAACTATAAGAAACTGTAGTTAAGGGCACCTGGGTGGCTCAGTCCATTAAGCATCTGCCTTCAGCTCAGGTCATGATCCCAAGGTCCTGGGATCAAGCCCCACATCTCCCTCTGCCCACCCCCCCCAACCAGCTTGTGCTCTCTCTCGCTCACTCTCAAATAAATAAAATGTTTTAAAAAAGGAAAAGAAACTGTAGTTAAATGTTAGGAAACATAGCTTTCTTAGATTATTACCAATGATTACATATTTTATATATAAACATCCCTCTTAGGTAAAATTGACCAGTATGATTGCACATACATTTATTCCACAATGACAATCTGTCAGTGTATTAATTTGATATATATCTTGAACTGGAATCATCTACAAAGAAATAATAATAAATTCTGAAAAGAAACTATGAGTCCCAAATCAAACTATGGTTAAAAATTAAGAGGATTATTAGAAAACAAAAGTGTGGGCAGGAAATAGTGGCCATATGTCCACTTTTATTTGTAAAAGTAATTCCTGTACAAACTTTTTAAGATTTTATTTATTTGAGAGAGAGAGAGAGAGAGAGCACCAGCAGGAGGGGAGGGGCAGAGGGAGAGGAAGAGGCCGACTCCCTGCTGAACAGGGAGCCCAATGTAAGACTCCAGGATCATGACCTGAGTCAAAGGCAGATGCTTAACCGACTGAGCCACCCAGGTGCCCCAAACAATTCTTAAGTAAAATTTTTAAAAATATTGTAAATTGTAAAATTAATCCCATAAATCCAAATTAGTTGAACTTGGACTAACAAAGTCAAAAGCCACTGTTGTCATTTGCACATTAATTTGATAAACTGAATTTTAAAACAAAATTACATCTGCTGTGCAAAACTGATGATCATTTTGAGCACTAATATAAAAACTTAGCTTTTTTTTTTTTTTAGAAAGCTATATAATAAGATATTAGAGAAACCCAGGGCTCCTGGGTGGCTCAGTCGTTAAGCGTCTGCCTTCAGCTCAGGTCATGATCTCAGGGTCCTGGGATCGAGCCCCACATCGGGCTCCCTGCTCCGCGG